TCCTAAATTCCTGAATTACATTCAGAAATTCAGATTTACATAATCAACTATACTAATTAAGAAGATGTGAAGGGTACTTACATGAGCAGACTTCGGGAATCTAGAATATAAAACAAACTTATGCCATGCTGAAAGATAAAATGCCGAGATTCGGGCTGGAAGTGATTTTATATAACCTGTCCTAACACAGTCACTTATGGTTTTTATTGTTCGTTTTTGTAGGTAGAGGGGAACCATCCTCTTCAATACCCTAAACATCAGTTTGGAACAGTCTCTTTGTAATACATCGGAAAACGAGGATAATAACACATCATCAGGACAAGGAAATCTATTGAACAATCATTTCTTAAACATCTGTAAAATTGGAACATTTCAATATCATAGGGCAGGAACCTTTATCACTCTCGTTTTCCAAGTCATCTCCAATAAAATGTTTCCTTTTTCTACCTCTTAAAAAAAGTACACATCTTTCTGCTAGTCATTTATCTGGTAATTTTTCCTTCTTTGTTTTACCTTCATTTTAACTAAACATCTAATCCAACTCAAACCAAGTCAAAAGCTAAGACCCAGGAAGGCCTCCCTTCCCCTTCGTTTTGAATTCAATCATTTCTATTTATCTCCAGGCATAATTATTAATTAAAAGCCGTTTTCTATCGTAATCACGTCTCACGTAAACTTAATTGTTCAATGACAGTCCACCACAACCTTTTGCGGATCAATTATAGCCACTTCGAAATTAAAATTAGGCGTTGCACTTATTTTTCTCCATAGCCCCAATAAAAAGCCAGCAGAGTATTTTTCTCATCTCGTTCGGGTGGGGATTTTCTAAGACAATTTCAGGCGTCGACCAAATGTCTTTCAAGACAGTAATACGTTTGTTTAATCATCTATTTACTTTATAATTCAAGGGTGTTTAAAATAAATGTCAGTTTTTAAAATGTCATGGAAAAATGGATGAGTCATTTTTTACAAAGCTGCCTCATCCATTTTTCTTCTACAACGAAAGACTTTATAACAATTTTTCTTAACAAGTTTTTCTTCAAACACACGATCGTTCCTAAGCGGACCTCCCGCAATTCGCTTCTTTTTAAGGAAAGGAAAAGCATACTTTCTGGCTGTGCAGCATATACAAAATACGAAAAGGATTCTTTATTCACAATCTAATTTTTTAGTCTTACCAGCGCCTGCACCAGATGCTCATACCTCTAATTCTCTTGATATGAATCGCGCAGCATTTACAAATAACACGAAGTCAGAATCTCTTTGTAACATTTTAGACTGTAATGAAGATTTTCTGGAAGTTAAATTTTTCTTTGCCCTCTATGAAAAGAAATCTAAGAAAGTAATTAGATAATGCTCCTCAGTTTGCACAAAATAGGTGTTCCGGTTTAACTAGTAACTTTCACTCTGCCGATGTTCCGGTTTGATTAGAAACCAATTTTTCTCTGCCCCAGAATGGCAACAGTGAGAACTTGACTTTAGATTTGTTATGACGCAGCTAGAACGCTGCTCATGAGATGTAACATTAGATTCGATTCTAGATTAGATTAATTTTAGTATTTTAATAAATAATTTTAAAACTAGATTGAGTATTTGATCATAGAATTATAGCTGAACCACCGCTTGCAGAAATTTAGGTGTGGCATTTAGATACGTCTTTAGATAGTTAGATGCGTAGGCAGCGACATTTGTGATTCGATTAGTGTACATTAGTGCGTACATGAACATTTTTTGGTGCTACATGCCGGGAAGCCGGCCAATATTCGAAAATATGGATTCGTAAGTATGGATTGGCATGGTGTGAAGTGTGCAAAGCCTGCAAACAGGTAGGATAAGTTTTCTATTTTAAAGTAATTATGGAAGATCCTGTCGCTAAGCTGAAATCGAAACGCAAAGTAGTAAGGGCCGCAGTGTCCAAGGTACTAAAGAAAACTGAGACAGAATTAAGCAAAGATGACGTTAGTATAAATGTAATAGAAGACATATTAAACGAAAAGGTAAAAACTCTGAGTGATTTAAACACTCAAATAGAACGGATTTGAAGGTCGCAGATGATGAATTTGAACTTGAAGTTTCATCCGCTCTAGAATATGAAGAAAAAATTCCAACTGTGGCAATTTAGAGCAAGAAACAAAATTGAGGGAATTACACAAACTCGAAAATTCGGATAAGGAAAGTATGAACATTCCTAATGAAACCGCTATAGATTCCAAACTTGAAAATAATAAATTTATTCGCCTTCCAAAATTGGCTATCGCTAAATTTTTTGGTGATTCTAGCAATTGGCAGGAATTTTGGAGTCAATTCGAGGCAGCTATCCATAACAATGACTCATTATCGAAAGTAAATAAATTCAGTTACTTAAAGTCATCGTTACTAGGTGGGGTAGCTTATAATGCCGTTTCCGGACTTTCGCTTACAAATGAGAAGTACGATTCAGCTATAGAACTTGTTAACTAACAGGTTTGGGAGAAAAGAGTTGGTAATAAATGCTCACATGAACAAACTGTTTAAATCTTTTCCCTGTTACAAATGTAAGGGATATAGAAAATCTTAGGAATTTATATGATCAGTGTGAAACTCAAATTAGATGCTTAGAATGAACGTCGTATCAGAAACTTACGGTAGTTTACTTTGCCCAATATTATTAAAATTAATTCCATCAGAGATAGCATTAGAATACAGTCGCAGTAGAAACAGTGACCAAACATGGAACGTTAACGAATTAATGGAGTTTGTTCGTAAAGAAATCGAAAGCCGCGAAAGAGCTACGCAGTTAAATGACAGAGAAACAAAAACAAAACACCGAGCGGAAATGATTCATAACTAGAGGCATAAATCAAACGATCGTTTCCACTCCGCTCACGTTAATGTAAATAATAAGCGCAGTAAACAGTTTGAAAAAGTTCGCCGAAAACGTATGACTATATTGCTCCAGTCGCTAGGCGTAAACGCATATATTGTGACGAACTGCATGATTCGGAGCGCTGCGAAATTAAAACCGTAGAAGAGAAAAGAAATATTTTAAAAGGTGAAGCTCGATGTTTCTTGTGTCTTAAATCTCAGCATAAAATAAAGTAGTGCAAGGAAAGAAAAATGTGCGAAATATGTAATAAAAACACAATAGGTCTATTTGTTTCCAACTCGAAACCAAATCGGAGAAAAACAAAGTCGTGTCGACAAATCCATCCAGTAAAGAAGATATTCAGATTAGTCAATTAAAAACCGAAACTTTCCGCAGTGCATTGCTGCAAACATGTGTTGTGACGATACGTCCATTTTCTGAGAAGGATAATTTAGAACCAGTTCGTATTTTATTAGATAATGGATCGATGAGAAGTTTTATAATTCGGGACATTTCAGAGAAGTGTAAATTACCTGTTATTCGAAAGGAGACTTTGTCCGTATTTGCCTTTGGGGTTAACCAGGCAACAGAACAAACTTACAATGTTGTGAAAGTTAAACTAGAAAACAGAAGTAAACCATCCCTAAATATAGAAATTGAAGCTTTAGAAACTAACCAAATATGTGCAACTAATTTAGATTTCCCTGATATTCCAGTTTCCAAAATTAACAAAGAGTTAATAGGATTACAGTTAGCTGATTCTTATGAATTCAGTGACAAAAATATTGCTGTTTTGATCGGAGCAGATTACTATCATGAAGTGATAACTGGTAGACTTAAACGTTTTAAAAATAAACTTATAGCTTCCGAAACAATATTTGGATGGTGCCTTCAAGGCCGGACTGTTTCTAACGGTGAATTGTTAAACATGGACATTATTGTTGACAACAAATTGGTTTCAACACAGTTAAAGCAGTTTTAGGAATTAGAAACATTGGGAATTGAACAAGGGAAGGAAATTAGTAAAATAGATAACGACATTTTAGAGAATTTTAACAGAACTATCAAATTTAAAGAAAAGCGATATGAGGTTAAACTCCCATGGAATGAAAATTCGTCTGAATTAAAAACGAATTACGTGAATGCAGAAGTTCGCTTTAATAAACTGTTTAAAAGGTTGAGAAATGATCCACTCCTTCATCAGCAGTATCACTCAGTTATAGAACAACATTTAAAAATAGGTATAGCTGAGGAAATTGATCCAAGTTCTAAAGAAACAGGAAGAATTTATTACATGCCTCACCAGCCAGTTATTCGACCTGACAAACCCGTGAGAGTTGTATTTGATGCCTCCAGCCATTCGAAAAATGAATACTCTTTAAACGATTGTCTCTATTCTGGTCCTAATTTAAATCCACCATTGTTAGAGATATTAATACAATTTCGTACACATAGCATAGCATTTACTGCCGACATTGAACAAGCTTTTCTCCAGATTTCTCTGTCACCTGAAGATAGGGATGCTGTAAGATTTTTGTGGGCAAATAAAATTACAGATAAGGATGGGAAACCTAACACGAAAATACTTAGGATGACTCGCGTTTTGTTTGGAGCTACATCCAGCCCATTTTTGCTTGCCGCTACTATCAAACATCACATAAATACCTTTAAAGAAACAAATCAGAAAGCAGTTAAACTATTGAACGAATGTTTATACGTAGACGATTTAATAGGTGGGGATGAAGACGAAAATGAAGCTAAACTCATATATGAAGATATCAGATATATATTGAAGGCTGCTGGTTTCAACATGCGAAAGTGGAAAACAAATTGTGGGAATCTGCAGGAAGTTTTTGACGAATACAAAAATGGTGATCCAGAAAGTTCTGGAACAGAAGGTATTGGGATATAAATGGAATTACAAGGAAGACCTTATGCAGATAGAATCACAAAATCTAACTAATCAAGGGAAAACAAAGTTAATGACAAAAAGAGAAGTTCTTAAAACCATTTGAAAGCTTTACGATCCCATTGGATTTATAAGTCCATTCACTATTAGGGCAAAAATACTAATGCAGGAAATTTGGAAATTTTGGGGTAGATTGGGATGATCCGTTATCATTGGACTTTGTAAAAAGAATGAAAAAATGGATTAATGAACCGAGCGATTCAGGATGTAAAAATTCCGCGACATTACTTCCGAAAGACTAATAAGTCTGAATTGAGAGATATTCAAATGCATTGCTTTACCGACGCTAGTCAGAAGGCATATGGAGTTGTGATATACCTGCGATACGTCACGACGGACAGTGAAATAGAAAGTAGTTTTGTCATTTCCAAAACCAGAGTAGCTCCACTGAAGAAGATGTCCCTTCCAAGATTAGAGCTGATGGGGGCGCTCATCGGAGCAAGATTAGCCTCAAATGTGATAGAAGAGTTAGAGAAAAGACTCCAGATGAATGTATATTTTTTGTCAGACTCTTCTGTTACGTTACATTGGATAAAGGGCGATTTAAATAAATGGAAATCATTCGTCCAACATCGAGTAATGGAAATACGAGAGAAAACATCACCTGAGTCCTGGAATTATTGCCCTGGAGATGAAAATCCGGATGATATGCTGACCAGAGGAAAAAAGACCAATTCCACGAAAGGAATAACGTTGTCTGAACTACGAAATAGTGACATGTGGTGGCATGGACCTACACTGGTGTGCAAAAATTAAGGACGAAGTCGAAAAATTAGCATATCAGCTGAACGAAAAGGCAGAGCGGACAGAAAGACCAATCAGGAGATTAAGTAAGGTGATGTACTGTAGCACATGCGTAGATATTCAGGTAGACGTAATGGGGGAGTGTCTGAGTAGTATAAAGCATGTAGTCGGTGTAAGATCAGTATTTCTGGCAAAGAGATTGCACGCCGTATAGCAGTTAAAATCACACCGAGTTGCTGCCTCAGCGAGAAATGGCGAATAATCAATCTGTTAGACGACATCTGGATGCTTTTACCCGAGGTCGAATCATTGGGAAGTTGGAGGAAGGCCGCAGTGTGACAAGTGAGGCTGCAGAGTTCGGATTTGCTCACAGCATCGTTTCACGACTTTGGAGACAATTTCAAACTACAGGAACAGCTATCCGGGGGTTTAGTAGTGGTCGTCCACGAGGAACCACATCCGCAGATGACCGGTATATTGCCTTACAGGCCAGAAGAAACAGGCGGAAGACAGCGGGAGAAATCGCTAGACACACGACACAGGTGACTGGACGACCGACATCGCTTTTTACCGTGGTCAGAAGACTGCACGGTGGTGGTCTGTTTGCACGACGCCCTGTACGGTGTGTACCTCTAACGCCTACCCATCGGAGAAAGCGTTCTCTGTGGTGCCGGGAACATCGGAATTGGAGAGACAATGTATGGGGACGAGTACTCTTTACAGATGAGAGCAGATTCACTCTGAGTAGCGATTCTGATCGCATACTCATCTGGAGAGAGCGGGGAAGCCGCAATCATCCCTCGAACATCATTGAAAGGGACAGGTATGGAGGTGGCGGTGTTCTCGTTTGGGGAGGCATCATGCTTGGTAGTCGTACAGACCTTCACATCTTCGACGCAGGTTCAGTCAACGGGACCCGTTATTGTAACGAGATTCTTCTTCCATATGTGCGTCTTTTTAGAGGCGCTATGGGTCCGCAGTTCCTTTTCACGGACGACAATGCACCATGTCATCGCACAGTAGCTGCCGAACAGATCTTAGAGAGTGAGGATATTGAACGTATGGATTGGCCGACACGATCTCAGGATCTCAATCCCATCGAGCATGTATGTGATTTTCTATGTAGACGCTTGGCAGCTCGTACCTTACCACCAGCAAGGATTCCGGAGCTTCGATTGGCGCTGCAAGACGAATGGGCAGCAATGCCTCAACAACTCATTGACACTTCATTCTCAGCATGGGCAGACGCTGTGAAACCCGCCTAGCTGTCAGGGGAGATCATATCCCCTATTAAAGACCGGATGTTTCTTGCTGGACACCTATCACAGGGATGTTTCGGCCTTCAGTCGCATTGCGCTCCATGCTACTTTTTCAATAAAGTTTCTTTTTATCCCTCTGATTTCTCTTTTAGTAAGTGTTGCTTACATTACTCATGTCCTTACGTATTGGGGATCTTACGGTATTAAATGTGTTGATTTGGAAAGCTTTTGTACAAAGTTATATTGAAAAAAACCGTCTTGTCCTTAATTTTTGCACACCAGTGTAAGTGGTTATTACAGAGCATCGATTCAAGGATCATGAAGAGCTCGAACTTCGAAGGAAAGCTGTAGTGAACTCAACAGTCACAGGTGAAAATTCCATTGAGAACGAATTCATTAAAAGGTATTCGTCATTCAGCAAATTGATTAGAATTACTGCGTTGCGTTTAAGGTTTGCGAACAACTGTAGAACCAATCCACCATTAAGAAAAGAAAGTTTATTGAGTGCTTCTGAACTACAAAATGCAACAAACGTGCTAGTCAAATGTGCACAACATTCTGAATTTCAACCTGAAATTAAGTGCCTGCAGTCGAAACGATCAGTTCCAAGTAATAGTCAGGTTTTATCATTAAATGTATTTCTGGATGAAGATGATTTTTTACGAGTTGGTGGGAGACTACGTTACTCCAATATTTCAGAAAACCAGAAACATCAACTTCTTTTATCCAAAAGACATCATTTCTCATAGTCATAGATTATTATCACAAAAAATCGCTTCATTCGGGCGTTCAAACAACACTTTCTCTTATTAGACAATTATACTAAATACCTTCCGGACAAGATAGAGTTAGACGCGTTATAAGTAAATGCATGGCGTGCTTTCGAACAAGGAACCAAACCATAAACCAAATGATGGAAGACTTACCTAGAGATAGAGTTGTAATAACTAGACCATTCGAAAAAATAGGACTGGACATTGCAGGTCCAGTTATCACCAAGCCTAATTTGAAAAGATCTAGGGTTACGTTTAAATCATACATCGCGATATTTATTTGCTTTAGTACAAAGGCTATTCATCTAGAAATAATATCGGATTTGTCTACTGAAGCATTTGTAGCATGTCTTAGAAGGTTTATGCCAGACGATCTAAACCATCCATTGTTTGGAGTGATAACGCTACGAACTTCAAGGGAACGAAGAATGTTCTTGATAAACTCCTTAGAATATGTAAATCGGATCCTATTCTGCGCTTTAGTTCCGAAGAAGGTATAACATGGAGATTTATTCCTCCTTCTTCCCCGCATTTTGGCGGGTTATGGGAGGCTAATATAAAATCAATGAAGAAAATTTTGACAAAGGTCGCAAAAACGACAATTTTAAACTTTGAAGAGCTGTATACATTAATTACACAAATACAAAGAAGCCTGCTTGAACTCTCGACCTCTGTCACCTATTTCGGCTGATCCAACAGATCTTCAGCCTTTGACTCCAGGTCATTTCCTAATAGGAGCTCCACTTTTGTCGATACCAGAACCGAATGATTCTGTAGATTCTTTGACCTTGTTTTCTAAACTTAAACTTAATTCAATAACTTCCAATAATTATATCATTCTTCGGTGCCTGTTCTCGTGCTATAAGCGGTTAGTATATTAAGTTATCAAAATGGAAGATATGTGTTGAAATCCTGTAGCAGGCATAGCTTATTTATTAGACTCTGGGACTCCGGCAAACTAAATGGTCTCTACAGTGGCGTTCGAACTAATACATTGAGGATGATAATCTTCAACACGTGGTTTGGTCCCCTGGGATCGTACCTCACACAAATTGCCTTTCCAGGAGAATATAAGGTACTGCATCTTCTCTCCTACCAGCTTTTGGGATGTAAATTGTTAACACATCCACCTAACGAAGTAGAAGAATTTGCTTTAATAGTTTCGGCGGACACCCTTTCAATGATAAAACCTGATTAAACTCTCCTTCCTCAACTTTTAAGCTTTCCTTCCTCCTATTAAGGAAATTCTTTGTTCAGCATTTATGAGCCCTGCGTCAAATTCGAATTGAAAAGATCCCTATAGAAGATTAGATCGTTATAGAAGATCAAGATACATAGAATTATTAGAGAAGATATTATAGATCATTATAGAAGATTTTCAGAATTAACAGATATGGGTCAAACCGGGTTTTGAAGTATCTTGATGTGGCATTAATTTCTTGATCTTTTCCTAATATTCCTTCTTAAAACGTACTTTAAAAATTTCTTATTTTGGTGAATTAGGTTTCATAAATGTCGTCCACATACATCAAAACCTAAGACTTTTATTTATTAATTTTAATACAAGTTTTGACATTCATGAAATACGTACCTATAATTTTTTATTCTTTTTTCCCGTTTTGGTTAGCAATTGATGCTTCATTTCCTCCTTCATTTGAATTTAAAAATAAATTGTGCATTTAAGATATAAATATGTAAAATATGATACTAACTAACTGAATATGCTACTAAAACTGCGTCATAAAATACAATATCTTAAAATACACAAAGCACTTTTCTAAAACCCCGTTCAGTCCAAAGCTGATCTTCGTCTAATCTTGAAAAATGTAAAATTATTTTATATCTTTCATTTTATTATGATGAATATGTATTTAAAAGACCTTTGTTTTCATAAGCTTAAAGCAAATACTGTTACATGGCCTTTATGTGGACGCATTAATACTTCAATTGTTCACTTAACAGTTAAAATTAGCGTTTAATATATTAATTATCTGACATTTAACATAACTAATGTTTAAAGATTTCGACAGCTTAATCGTAATGTTATTGCGTGAATTTAGAACATTCACCAAAACAGGCGGTTTCCATTTTGCGTAACTGAACAAAGCTTTAATTTAATAATGCTTTTAAATCAAGCTAGTTATAGTTAGCGAGAATAACTAGTACAATAATCTCTTTGCAATGAACATCTCACTTCAGGGTTATAATATTTCGTGCAAATGGATATACTTTCGGTTTGCTTTGATAAGAGTGAATATTTTGGACGACTTTCCTCCTATCTTCAACAAAAGTAAAAAATCTGATGTGTACACCACATGACTTCCTTACACGGAATATTAAATTATAGGCAGTTTTTCTTGCATTTAATTTAAACGTATTAGATTGAATTAAACCTACTTCGTCGATAGCGCATAAACCACAATAGAATAAATGCACTCTTTAAAATTCGCTATATTTGTTTACCATAGCAACACTCTGGTGCTACTAGCTTCACTTAAAAACGTTGCATTTCGTTCATATTATAAATCAGAATGCATATAAATTTATATCATTTGAAGAATTATTTAATCGTTGCCACATGTTTTATTCAAATACTATAATAAATTTAAAACGATGTATAAAAGAAATTAAGAAAGAAACAGTTTTTTACAGATGATTCAGTCTTTCTCATTCAATTAATTCAGTTCTCATTTCCCGACAAGACAAAAATGCATAAAAACTCAAACTATCTATATTAAAATTACGAAGTACATCTTAACCACTTATTTCCTCGAATAAATTCCAGAAAGGATTAAGCATGATTTAATTCGCAATAATAAAAGAAACAACAACGAGCAAACCAAACAACAACAGCCAACAAAGGCTTTATCTTTGTTGTTGCGAAGTTTAGTTTCTCTAGATTGGCAACAAATCCGCTATTTTGCCAAGTTTGAAATGTAAACAAACATGTTTGCCTTCGCAAAATTCATTAGGCTTAGCCTCACTTAAACAACTTTTAAATTGTTGATAACTCCACAAATATTGCATGCATATTTACTAAAGGCGTCAAACCCTTAACCGGGAGATAAGCACAACATAATTCAATCATTTTTAAAGCACAAAATGCACACCTTACAGACATATAAGAGTAAAGAAACTAAGATCACTAAGCCGGTTAACTTATGACTTACTTTTTTCTGGTCATTAACTACTAAAGAGTTTTCGCCAGTAGATCGCATTAAAGTGCACTAGGCAAAGATATTTCCAAATAAATGGTACTAGGGAAGTACCAACACCCGTGGGCGAAGAAAATTCAGCTGCGTGAGCAGGCATATCTTAATACTTACGAAAGTAGGCGTTCATCATAAAAATTGTGCAGTGGTAAGCAATGGCATTAAATTGAAGCATGTAGGCAGGTGCAGTGAGTTGTATGGCAAATGCAGGTGGTGAGTGCAATATAGCTAGTAAGAGTGCAGGATAAGCAATAGTGAGACATCATGAAAATGGCGCGAAGACAGTTTGAAGCTGTGAATGGCATAAGAGTTCAAAGTCCTTCAGAAGTATGCAGTAGCTAGATAGGCCGTAAAAAGTTCAAAAGTTCGTAGAATCATACGATAAAGTAAAATTCATACAAAATAATTAAAAAATGAAATAGTAACATAAAAATCTTGAATAAAAAAAGTTTCTTGATTAACATAAGATGCAACACAAATAATAGGATAGAGTCCAATTTCAGAGTTCAAGTAAATTTTAAAATTAAAATTTACAAGTTACCACCATGACGAATTGTGATGAATTGTCCTTGGGCGTTTGACAGTGTATTCAATGGTTGGATCATAATCCAACATTTGTTTAATTGCGTTATACTGACTATGCTTCATCTTCTCGAAGAAGTTGTGAGCTGTCATGAGTATAAAGTTATGCACAGATGGAATATCCAGGTCGTTATGAATTATAGAGTTTCTCACGTACCAAGGTGCATTCACAATGCTACGTAGAATTTTATTTTGAAGTATATCCAATTTTTTGCGCTCAGTTTTATTGGCGATTGCCCATGGCCGGCACTGCATATAGCATGATCGGTCGAATTAGAGATATGTAAAGCATTTTCTTTATTTTTAGACTGAGCTTCGATTTTTTGCCGATAATAGGATAAATTGCCATGTAGGCTGCATTTGCTTTGTTTAAGATATAAGAAATATGATCTTTGAAGTTGAGAGACTTATCTATGTAAACACCTAAATATTTATAGGAATTAGCTACAGGGATTAGAGTTCTATCTAAGTAGATATCAGTATTGAACTCTTAATCTTGTTTTGTATCTCCGATAGAGCACAATACAACATTTAGAGGCGTTGAGCTTAATTTTCCAAGTCTTGCACCAGTGATTGATCATATTGAGATGCATTTGTAAATTACTTAGAGCGAGCTGGGGACTTCTGGATTCAGTCAGTACTACAGTGTCGTCAGCGTATTTGAGTATTTTCGTGTTGAATGGGTGCGGGAAATCATTGATATAAACATTATAGAGCCGGGGGGAAAGAACGGATCCTTGCGGGACCCCGCTATGAATTCTTTTTCTGACAGATAAGGCGTCACCGCAGCGAACTTGAAAAGTCCTGTTTTTCAGATAGGAACTAATGAGTTTTACGAAAAACTGTTTGGAAGCATAAAATTATTCAATTTATGCAGGAGGCCTGCATGCCACACTCTATCAAAGGCCTTTTCGAAGTCGAGATAGCATGCAGCCACCCCGTTTTTTCTTAGTAAAGGCTTGCGAAACAAATTCCACCAAATTGAGAATTTGATGAGTCGTGCAGTGTCCACTGCGGAAGCCGAATTGCAGATCATCTATTAAATTGAGTCTTTCGAGATGGTTAGTGAGCCTTGAGCAGAGGATTTTCTCAAATACTTTTCCTAATGAAGGTAAAAGACTGATAGGTCTGTAGGAAGTGACGAGTTTAGGATCTTTCTTTGGTTTTAAGATATTGACAATT